TGGACACAATATTGAAGATGAGATATAACGAACGAGAGACTTTATCAGTTATACTTTTCAATCATTTTAATGATGAATTATATAACTTTATGTTAATTATCGATGCTGTATTCTTCTCTAAAAATACTACAACTAACTAATTTTTTAGTTGAGAGATTGCACACAGAAAATAATAAAATGAATTATTCCAAGTCATAAATTTAATTCCATATATAATACCTTTTATAGATTCTGATGTTACATTTATCGTATATTACGAACAAAAGATGTTTTATCAACTCCATATTTTATCATGCGTATATATCATGTATAAAGAAGGATTATTTAAAGGATTGCTTTTTTCGATTATAACATAAATAAGTTTATTAAAAAGATAATATTTAATGAACTGTAATTTCGGTAAAGTTGGATGATAATAAGATTTAATTCAAGAAAAGTATTTTGCAACTTAAAGTCTCTAATTTTCTGATATATTTATAAATATAATATTAATATATTTATACTACAATATTATATACATTGAAATATATATCAAAATCTATCAAATACTAAAATTTTTTATGAAGTTTGTCGCGTTGTGCTATGTAAATAAAAAATTGCACAAAAACGACATTTATACTATTTGAAAGCGCAAACCTTCTCCTCTTTGATTTACATATATCTAGGTTTATGGTACAATTTTTTTGAAAAAGTTATTCAACGTTAAAGTGAGAATGTTCTTTTGATTTTAATTGCTCAGTAGAGATAAACGAATGGATGTTACACTCGGTATTAAATACGTTTAAAGTAAAGTTTGAAGTATCAATGTCGGGACATAAACCTAATTATGGATATTTTTATTTGTTTAGGTCTTAAAATATTAATATAAATATTTAAACTATAAATATTTAAATTTTTAACGTGAAATATATAAAGAAATATTGAGTATATACATACATTCTATGTTAAAAGTTTAAATATTCATATTTAAAGACCAAAATAATAAAGATATTAATAATAAAAATAATAAAAAGATTAGGTGCGTGTCCGGAACTTAGTACTTTTGTATACATTTTCCGAATAAAGTTGCAGCGCTCCTAATCACAATTGAGTAATCTGCTGTAGTAATCGATTGTAGCAGAAGCTGAAGTGACTGTACACGTATATAAGCATTAATTCTTTATTATACTTTCATCTGATAGATATGAATGTAATAAAGATACTTATGTTTTCTTTTTTTTTAAATCTATTGTGACATCGCATTTGTGACATCGAATGTTTCATATGTCACTTCGGCTTGACCGAAACTTGACCGGCTTCTGTCTGAACCGATTACTGCACAAACGCAATCATCAGCAATGTCTCTTAATTGCGACAACTATTGAAGCGCTATAACTTCAACGAAAAAATGTGTATAAACCGTTTAATAACCAAGCGTACAACATTCAATAAATTAAAAAATTAACAAAATAATAAAAAAACTTAAAGTTTTCTCTTTACAATGCATTTTTTAATTTTTGATAGAAATATATTTCTAGTACAGAAATTTAACTAAAAGATAAGGTTTAAAATTATAATTATTTAAAATTATATTTTCTATTTAACTTAATGTATTATTGCAAACAGCGACAACAACATTATAACCTTAATTGGAAAAGTAGAGCTTTCAATCATCTTTAAGATGTTTTTTGAACCATCTCGTTAGCAATATTTTCACCGAAAAATCATCATTCGTATTTATGTTTTATATATTGCATAGATAAATGACATATTATTGAGTCGTACTCACAGATGTCTATACTAAACTAGATTGCTAACTAGGGTTTCGAACTTGCGTCGCATGAGGTTTCCGGTTATATGCAAGAAAATGGCGGCAGTCCTATATGTGTGACGCGTGTTACTTGTGTAAGTATCTTACAACGTACAATGTGAGTCAGCGTGGCCATTAAATTACTGTCGTAAAACCAAAAATGCCAGCATCTTATTGCATCAAAAAATGTTCCCCAGATTTAACATGACCGGAGCGGAGACGATTAATGCTAGTAACAAATTGCCTGGAAGATCGTTCGAGATGCTCAAACCAAACCTTACCAAATTTTTCTCGAACTTTATTAAAATATCAATATCCCTTAGTTTCCGAAAAGGCCGTTAAATGAATCATGGAATTATCTTTCGCGAAGACCTTTAATGAGCTGATAAGACCTTGACGAAGGAAGACACGAAGGTCTAACTCCTTCAAAGGGAGATCCAGAGCCCTGCGAGCCCGCCAAAAAAATCAGCCACATCGTTACCCAGAAGATTAATATGCCTAGGCATCCGCATAAGTCGTAGACTACAACCACAAGAGCTGAGTTGTATAAGGAGATCCTTGATACGATAAATCAGCGGGTGAGAATTATCATATATATCCGGCGTGCTAAAGGCAGTCATGGCACTTAAAAAATCGGAAATAATATAATAATGATTTGACCCGAAATCCGATATAAAATCCAAAGCCGTAATAATAGCGATCGATTCAGCGTCGAAAATATTAAGCAGCGGATGACCTGTGAAGCCAACGACCACTTGTCTCTTCGGAATAAAAACAGCGAGATCTACAAACCCATTATCAAGTTTGGAACCGTCCGTATAGACAAAAATATGATTATGAAATTTGCCGACGATTTTCCGGAACTTCCGGTCCGCAACTGAGGTGATATTACTGAGAAAGGATCTATCAAAGGAGTCGAGAAACTCAGCGATCCAACATTGCACTGGCACATCGGAACTGGATTTTCCTTTATAACCGACAAAATCGAGGTCTGTTGATATGTCGATCTGCGGTCAATGACGTGTATATATAGATCAAGCATTCCTATTCTTCCGCTGTAGCAGCGAGTTGCCGGAAGCCGGAAGTTGGCAGTTTAAAACAGAGTGAGAAAGTTGATTTGCCCCTAGTACTTTCTCATTCTATCGTATAGAAAGAATATGGTCGCTGTCAAGCATTATATATAATTTTTTTTTAGTGCAGCATTAAAAAAATAAAACTGTATATTTCGTTTATCTCGACATAAAATTGATATTTATAATATTTTATGCTGTGTATAAATAATCACAGCAATTGCTCTTATCCTGTCCTCGTTCCACTGTCAACGAGATAATCAGTTCTTGGATAAGGTTTAGTGCTGTAAATAGTTCCATTTAGTGCTATAAGTGCTTCAGAACTACGAATGGATCAAACACATTGCTTTATTTAATGTTTTAAAATATTCGCAATGTTAAACGGGCCCTACTTCTGGATAGACAATAATGGTTGCTTTCCAGCAAGAGACACAAGTATCATCCTATTTTTATTATTCACTAAATGTGGAAAGACAGAATGATGTTTGTGTCGACTTGTGTCACTTGCTGGAAAGCAAAAGTGGAAAACAAGAGAGCACCAATATAGAGTGAGAAAGCACTAGAGGCAAATCAACTTTCTCACTCTGTTTTAACCCTTGTGTGCGCACCCGGGTAACCGGGTGCCCACCACTGCTCATTTTTGCATGTAAGTGGATTAAAAATGAAAATTTCGCTTTGTACGCCCGGATCGTCGTTATTTAACTCATTTTTAAGCAAATGGTGCATTTGGAGATTTTTAAGAATTTTTTTAAGCATAAATAATCTAGTTTAAAGTATACATATGCCGCGGACGCACCCGGTTACCTGGGTACCCACCATAGAAAAATTCA